CTCTTCTGGCTCTAGCAGTGTTCTGTGATTCTAGAACTTTCTCCATTTTATACATGCAGAAACTGAGATGGACACGCTTAGGATCACATAATGCCAGTGGAGAACAAGCTGCAGATTAAAGATTTTCAGGTTTTTGATGCAGGGTTCTCTCAGTTCCTCCTTGTCAGCCTTTCAGGTGTCATTTCCTGCTGTCTTCTAAGCATAACAGTGATAAGACAAGTGGCCTCTGAGAAAGGTTCCCTGGTGTTTTCCCCTCCATCCCTTGTCTTAGACATATTTTGTTCCTGTAATCTCACTGCCCTGCCCACCTCTAGAATTTTTTTTCTGGAGTGTTTTTCTCCAATTTTCTGCTCTGTTAATACCTGACTACCATCACATCCACTTTAGTTTAACTCTGCCTCTTCAAGGGATTTTTTTTTCACTACTAAGGGTAAAATCTTGCAACAGGTTAAGGTGCAAATGTAGTGTCAGAATGCCCAGCTTCTGTGGCTCATACCAGAAGGAGGTCTTGGAGTTCTTTGCTGATTTGCATTTCTTCACCTCATTTTCACCATCCTGTCCTTTCATCTTGTGAAAGTGTCCAAACACTTAATGCACACCAGCCTCTGTGTATAAGGCATGGCCATTGCCGGCATTTCTTGTATTTGGGGGCCTCAAACTCCACAGGCGAGATGAAACAGGACTGTCCTGTAGAGAGTAGATAAGAGCAGTAGATAAACGGTTTTTCAGAAGGAGCGCTGCTGTGAGTACTCCAAGGAAGAGGAGTTCTCCTCAGTCTAGGGGGCCCTGGAGCCCTTATGCGGGAGGTGGGGTAAGATGGGAGGCTGGAGATGTGAGTAGGGTTTTCCAAAGAAATTGGGTGGAGACAGCAGACTTAAAGATAGGCCCCCTAGCCACCATTTAAAGATGAATATGAAATAGCTCAGGTGGCACTCAGTGAGGACAGAAGAGGTCTGGGAACCACTAAGTTAGAGCTGTGCTGTCCCGTGTGAATGTGGCACCGTTGAGCTGTGATGGAATTGTCCTGTGGGACTATTGGAAGAGACTGAATCTCTGCCTGGAGCTAGCATTACTTCTGAAGGGATGGGCATTTCTGCCTTTGTTTATCCTCTGAGGAGGCAGACCCTTGTGTAAGAAACAGGGCTTGCAGAGATGTTGGATGGCCACCTGGAGGAACTGCTCCATTGGTCTGGTTCTCACTCCATTGAAAGTGGGCTGCTGCTCAGTGTTCTCAGATAGGCTGAGAAATTGGCATTTGCCAGACAAGGTGGGCCAGGAGCCTTCTGAAGGGGGGCCTTCGAGGTTGATCCAGAGATTATAAGAGCAGTTGGATGTGGTGAACTGGAAATACATCATTGTGATTTCCTTCTGTTGCTAGGCCCATGGGCAGCCCTTAGTGCTAGCTTAGCCTGGGGTTGGCTGTGCTGGGCCAATGAGGACTCATCTGCCTGTTCTAAGCAGAACTCCTCCTCCTCCCCACAGCTTTAGAGGTGGACTTGCTTTTTTTTTTTTAAACAGCTTTTTTTTTGAGATATGATACACATATCATACCATCCTCCCATTTAAAAGTATACAACTCCATGGCTTTTAGTATGTCCCCAGAATTATGTTTCCATCAACATAATTTTAGAACCTTTTTTGTTATCCCCTAGAAAAACCCTAGAAACCTTACCTATTACCTTTCATTTCCTCCATTTTCCATACCCCAGCTCTAAGCAATTACTAAAATATTTTGTCTTTACAGATTTGCCTACTCTAGAAATTTAGTATAAATGGAATCATGCAATACGTGGTCCTTTGTGACTTTTTTTGCTTAGCATAATATTTTTAAGAGTCATCTGTGTGTAGCATAATCAGGTCATTCCTTTTTATAGCCAGATAATATTTAATTGCATGGATATGCCAGTTTTGTTTATCCATTTCCTCAGTTTATCCATTATCCATACACATTGGGCTGGTTTCACTTTTGTTTATTATGGATAATGCTGCTGAGTACTGCTACTAAGTATGGATGCTGCTGCTGAGTACTTTTGTGTACAAGTTTTTGTGCAGACACATATTTTCGTTTGTCTTGGGAGAATTCCTAGAAGCAGAATTGTTTGGGCCATACGGTAACTCCATGTTAAACCATTTGAGGAACTGCCAGATTATTTTCCACACTGGCTGTGCCATTTTACATTCCCACCAGTGGTAGATGATGGTCCCAGTTTCTCCACATCTTCACCAACACTTGTTCTTATCTATATGTCCTTATGAGTGTGAAGTTGGTATCTCATTGTGGTTTTGATTTGCATTTTCTCTAATGACTAATGATGTTGAGCATCGTTTCTTGTGTGTGTGTGTTTTTTTTTTAAAGCAGGAGAATCGACACATTTCTTTGCCAGAGATTTCTGACCATCTTTAGAAAGGTGGAAGATGATTTAGTTGTGTTGAGGAATGAGTGGGAAGGAATGAGGTGATTGTTACTCTTCTAGAAAGTAGGAGGTTGGGGGTGGGGAGGATGCATATTGAGGTGGTAAATTCTGCCAACTGACTTGGTGCACAGGTTTTTCTCTGGAGGTGAATTGATGAAGTCATGGCCTTGAACTGTCATTAATCTGGTTGGCAACAAGGTCTTCAGATATTTACTGTACAGTCCCACTGTGCCCATTGGATGCCCTTAGCTAGAGGACTCAGCTGTTAGGTCTGGAGGCAAGCATCTTCTTAGCTCCAGCAACAGCTTATTGATCACTGTTAGTCTAAGGCTTCCCCGTTAATTGTCTGGTCATTCCTGATGATCCTCATTGTCATTTTGTGATACCAAGACTCTCTGTGAGGATGGCTGTTCATTATCCTCCTCATTGTCCACCTGTGACTGTGAGAGATAGGGGTATCTCTTGAATAATGCTTTTGAAAAGTCTTAAGTTCTGTTGCCTTAATAGGAATTGTAGAGATGAATTCTGTAATTCTTTATGGGTGGTATGTATATGCGAATATAGTTTCTATTATTTCAAGCTCTAAGTACCACTGGAGAAGAGAAGTTTCCTGGCAGCTCTATAGTCACTTAAAATCTGGGCCCTCACTAATCAGAACTGTACTTTGAACTCCTCATAGCTTGGGATTTTCACTTCAAATTTGTATGTCTCTGAATAGGAATAATTTTACCTAGGCTGAGTTTTTTTGGCCATCTCTTTACCCATCTAGTACACCATCTGGGTGGGTCTGACCCTCTCCAAGGCAAGCATGGAGGAGAAGGCTTCTATCTTCTAAGGAAGCCATCGTTCAGTTCCTGGCCCTTGATCTTTTCTTTGTTTTAACAACACAGCTTGAGAAGCCAATTGAGTAGGGTTAATTGAGGAAGTAGAGTGGGTTTTCCTGTCTGAAAGTGGACAGCTAATTCCTGCCAGGGATTGGGGTTCTTTGCTAAAATAGTGAAATAAAATCATCTTTTTTGATGTAGCACCTCATTTGTTTGCCCTAGGACAATTCCTTCAGCCCTGGGGTAAAATTAAGTAATGAATATGGGTTATCCAAAGGGGGGAAAAAAAAAAAAAACAAACCAATTCCTGAGGAGCTAGGTGCAGCACCTAGTTAGCAGTGTGGCTTTCAAAGTGTCAGACCCATGGGGTGGAAACTCCATCTTGTTCACTGTTCAGTCACCAGGGCCTGATGGCAGCCCATACTCATATAGACTGGGAGGAGGAGTGGAGGAAGGAAGGAGGGCAGGTGCTGTTTGGCCTGAAGTTAGAAGGACTGAATAAAGTGCTGTAGTGCCCTAGGCAACATATTCACTTAGCAGATACTTTATTGTGCCACTGTGGTCAGTGTCTTTCTCTGAAAAGGTGTGTTTGTGGTGCGGGGATTCCCTAAAGGATGTCATAGAGTCCCACATAGAAACTTTAAACAATCCAAGGTAGATAGGTATTTTTTAACTCATAATACTCCTTTATTTCCCCTTTACAATTTTTTAAAAAATTTGATACAATTATACATAATAATGGAGAACACTGTGAGTTTCAATACCTGTATACATTGTGAAATGATCAAAGTAGGGTAGTTAGCATGCACATCACCCCCAAATAGTTACTTTTGTGGTGAGAACATTTAAAATTGTTTCTTTTAGAAATATACATTATTATTAACCATAGTCACCTTGCTGTGCAATAGAACACCAGAACTTACTCCTGCTGTCAACTTGTCACCCATGGACCACTCCATCCTCATCCGCCCTCTTTTCCTCCCCATCACCTAGTAACCTGTTATCTCCTATGATACCAACTTTTTAGCTTCTGCATGTGAGATTGTACAGTATTTGCCTTTCTGTTCCTGGATTACTTCATTTAACATAATGTTCTTCAGGTTTATTCATGTTGCTGCAAAAGACAGGATTTCTCTTTTTTTCTGGTTGAATAGTACTCCATTGTCAGAAGTGTTGTAAGACTAGGAAAGGAGCACTGCAGGCTGGAGCCCTGGGGAAAGTGGTCTGAGGCAGGTGGGACAAGCTGGGGCCTGGCAAACAGGCTGGGTTTGATTGTCAGCATAATAGAGAGCACTCATGCGCCAGCTGGGTGGGAGGAGCAGCCTAGTAAAGACTGGGAAGCACCTCAGGAAGCATGTGCATGGTTTATGGTGATCAGCAGACCAGCCGGAATGTCGCGGGAGAGCGGGGTGTGATGGGGCAGAGGAACTTATGTTATAAAGTAGTACAGGATAGAGTTTGAGCATCATTGTAATGGGCATTGTGGTGGTGTTGAATAGTGGTGGAATGTATGGGTCTGGAATCAGGCTGCCTGGTCAGGGGCTCTGAAACTTGAGTGTGCATCAGAATCACCTGGAGTCTTGTTAAAGCACAGGCTGTAACACATCTCCAAAGTTGCTGATTCGGTGGGTGTGGGTGGGGCCTGAGAATTGGTATTTTTCACTGGTGATGCTGCTGTTAATTAGCTTGGGACCACATTTGGAGAACCACTGGTCTAGAATTGAGAGGTTGATAAACCTTTTCTGTTATGTTAGATAGTAAATATTGTTTAGGCTTTGTGGGCTACTTAGGGTATTTGCTACATATTCTTTATTGCTTTTCATGACCCATTAAGCATACAAAAACCATCCTCTGTCCTATACAAACAGGCCTTTGGGGGAGTGAGGATGAGGAAGGGAAGGTGGGGCATGGTTTAATAACCCTTGGGCCATGCCTGGATGATCAGTCTTCTGCTGCATAGCTGGCTGACCTTTGCCAAGCTAATCACCTTTTGCCTTTATTTTCTCCTGTTTCTCATAAAACAGAGATGATAATATTCATACTTCTTACCATATAGGACTTCTATGAGGATTCAGTGAGCTAAGCCACAAAAGATTGTTTATCATAATGTCTGGGACATAGCTAGAATTTATAATTTATTTTCATTAATAGTAGTACTACCAACTACTGGTTACTCTATTGATAGGCAAGGGGAAAACAGTAAGAGGCAGACCACCAGAGATCCAAGACTCTGAAAGCTAATTGCTTCAAGATCCTTCTACCATTTTCTTTGGGGCTGCTTGCAAAGAAGAATCCTTTGACTGAAGCATATATGTACACTCTGAAGTACATCCTGGGTTAGTCCCTTATAAGGGATCGGGATCATTGCTCAGCCTTTCCCTTGAATGGCACTTAGAAAATGGTGCTATTTGTAAGCTGACTGGTATTGGGTCTAGGACTCAGGCTGAAGGGGTGGGCATACTGGAAACCATTTGAAACCTATGCTCAGGTCCTACTTGTTGGGAAGCCTGATTGAGAAGTGTGGCCTGATTTGTGCTAGTATTAGATAGGATCTGGCTGCATTAATGTTGAAACTACTCTGCCTTTTAATGTCTCATTTTGCCTCATGGTGGGAGTGAAAGTGAGAACCACAGAAAATCTGCCTGCCAGGTGTTCCACATTTCTTGTGCTGCAGCACGCAAGTGAGCAGTGGGGTGTAGCTTCCCCTTATGTAGCTGGGACAGCAATACCACTGCTTGTTCCTCTGGCACGTCTTCTCTGTGCTGGTATACCGAGAGAGGCTGCCTGGTGGCCCTGAGGGAGCCATCTCGTCTCTAAACAGTGATAATGAAAGCTGGCCATGCTCAAATAAGATGGGGCAATCTATCTGTTTCTTGTCTAGTTACCCTGAGGGGGCATCCACTTTCTTGCTCACCTCACCAGTTGCATGCTGTAGTCCTTGCCAGAAGCACATAATAATGACTTTGTAAGCTTAAGTTACAAGCACACAAAAGTGCCCGATAGTGATATAACTCCACCCTTCGCTTGAGTTTTTGCTGACATTGAGTGAAATATCTTTCTGCCTCCTCCCTCCCTCGCAAAACAAACTTCCTGTTTTGCATTTGGTCCAAGCTGGAACAGCCCCACTACACCTGTTAACACACGCAGACACACACTTCCCCCTGCATATTTGCTTAGCTTCTTGTTGCCTAGCCAGATTTCCTCTCAGCTTACAGACCCCGAATCATAAGATATTGAACCAGCAAATTGAAGAGTTGACATTTTATTTAGAGCTATTCAAGTGGAAACATGGCTTCTGGTTTATTTTTCTGTATTGCGCTGTGACCACTTTGCTAATTGTTCTTCTCCTTCACAGCAGAATGGAAGAGAGGAAAGGAAATCAGCTGACACAGGAGCCAGAGTGAGACCAGTGGACTCTCACACTCAACTTACACCATGAATTTGTGTCTATCTTCAATGCGTTAAGAGCCAAGGACAGGTGAAGTTGCTGGAGAGCAATGGCTTTCTTTACTCCGTGGAAGTTGTCCTCTCAGAAGCTGGGCTTTTTCCTGGTGACTTTTGGCTTCATTTGGGGTATGATGCTTCTGCACTTTACCATCCAGCAGCGAACTCAGCCTGAAAGCAGCTCCATGCTGCGTGAGCAGATCCTGGACCTCAGCAAAAGGTACATCAAGGCACTGGCAGAAGAAAACAGAAATGTGGTGGATGGGCCATACGCTGGAGTCATGACAGCTTATGGTAAGCACTGTGCTACGGGGACCTCTCCATTAATGTGTGCCTTGGCCTTGAAATGGCCCCAGAAGCTCCCAGACATGGTCTTGTCATGGACCAAGTGTCCTTTGCCACAGTCTTCATAAGCAGTCAATTGCACACAGAGGAGCACCTTTAGAAAATTAAAGCAATGCCATTTTGGGTGCTCTGAGCTGGTGTATGCAGAAACACTTTCCCCTGGAATCAATGGGTTAGTATAGTTAGGGTTCTGTTGATTGTATTTGCAGCTAGCTCTGTCTCCCTGAACACATTTCTGGAACCACGTAATCTCGTGTAGGAGTGAGTTCAGGGAATGCTGAAAAATATTCTCCTTATCTTTCCCTAAACAAAACTTAATTAAGACTGGTAGGGGTGAGATGATGAAGATAGGGAGGAATGTTCTGTGGAAGCCAGTAATCTTAGAGCCAATTGTGTGCCTCCCTCCAGCTGATAAATAGGACACTGGCACTTGGATGCTGGTGAATTTTAACCTTTGGCTTCTTGAGATTGTATTGCTCTTCTTCTTGCCCTTGTTTCTACTTGCATTCTCTTTGAAAGGAATCTTTGTGTACTTGTTGCTTTTCTTTAAAAGAATTTTTTTCAGAATGCTTTTTAAAATCATGCAGAGTAAAAAAAATACACATATGGAATGCAACTTATTTTTCTTTTATGCTTAATATAGAAAAAGTTGGAAGCTGTAGACAAGCAAAAATAGGAAAAAATTGCACATAAGTCTACTCCAGGCAATAACCACAATTAACATTTCAGTGTATCTTTTTCTGATATTTTACATATACACACAAAAATATATATATACACACAAATACTTAGAAAACAGAAACTGCAAATGGAATTTAGATCATGCTATTTTTGCAGAGCAGACTTGGTCTGTAGAAGATGACCTGTTGTCAGTGACAGTCTGATCATTGAATTGAGGTTTTGGTGGCCTCACTGAAGTGGTCTCCATGATAGTATAGATGAGATACAAGAATGGGGTTGGGTGAGGTGGAGAAAATGGAACTCTGTTTTATGACCCACTCAAGGAAGGTACCCTGAAGTATGCAGAGTTCAAATCATGATTCCTAAAAATGTACAGCACCAGTTCAGTTCAGTGCAGGTTGAGTTCAAGCACAGGAAATCATACTGAGTTACACATGCAGTTTTTTCTTTCCAAAAGGGGAAAATTTGTTTTTTTAAAAAGTGTGTAAAATTTTATACACTTGTGTGTGTGTATATATGTATTTGTTAAAAGATGCTTGCTTTTAAGGAACATTGTAGAAATTTTTTTCCAATTCTTACTAGGTAAATTATCACATTCTCTGCTTTTAATCTATTAAAAGTGTATGCAGGCATTGGCTTTTAATATATCTAAATAAAATGGTACCTTTTTTGAACTGATGGATTTAAAAAATGAGACTCTACTGTCGGAGCTTACACTGAAAAACAGCTAGGTAGTTTTTCCTAAAGTTGCATTATAAAATTGCTCATTGATTCACACTTCCTCTGTAACATTTCCAGAGTGGTTTAGATAAACCAACAGAAAATAAAGCTGATTGTCACCATTAGTGTTACCAATGTATATCACATAGCAGATAACACAGATGCTGTTTTAGTTTCTGGTTGTTTGCATTTGATGTTACAGCTTTGAAGGGGAAGAGGTATCGCTCAGTAGTAATTTTCTCCCGTTTCTCTCAGTCTGTCAAAACTTTTCATGGGCAAGAAGAAGCCCCACAAATTGCAAATGTATAGGCTTTCAATTTATCCAGTTGTTTTGGCTGTTTTTATTTCTTATGTACTGCTAAAAATCTCATAGGGATTGCGTCCCCACATTTTAAAGGACAATAATTTGGTCTTAGCTTTTCAGCCTCACAGAAATATTATTTTTTAAGTTACCAAAAATCCCAGAATAAGCTGTTAGAATTTCAGCCACCTTATGTGCCTGTAATCATAGGACTTTGCGTCTCAAAGAAACTGTAGAAATTATTATTCCCACTTAATCCTTTCGTAGATGAACCTTAGCAAAATAATTTGTCTTTTTCTCAAAAACAACAAAGAAACAATCAAACAGGTCACATCAGCAACTCTAACTCAAACTGCTAGTTTTCTCTTTCATCTAATCAACTTAACATATCAAAGTGGTTTTTGGAGTTGAGTTTCTGGAATTTAATTGGATTTAAATATATGTGCTTGAGGTATTTGGGATTATCACATGGTGAGATCCTACTAGTAAGACAGGGTGTCCCATTTGGTGGTGTTCACATTTTGGTCTTAAATAGATCTTGATTGTGGTAGCTGTTTGTGTGTGATAGGATTTAAGCAGCATCTCTAGGGTCCGTATGCACTAGATGCCAGTAACATCTCCCTAGTTGTTAACAGTCAAAATGTCTAGATGTGTGATAATTGCCCCCTTCTTGCCACCTTGGGGAACTACTGTACTAAGAGTAGAAACCACAAACGCTATCTGACACCATCTTGTTAAGGATGTTCACAAGCAGATAACTAGTTTTAGGTTTTTAATTTATTTTTATTTTTATTTTTTTCTGAAATGGAGTCTTGCTTTGTTGCCCAGGCTGGTACAATCTTGGCTCACTGCAACCCCCACCTCCTGGGTTCAAGAGATTCTTGTGTCAGCCTCCTGAGTAGCTGGGATTACAGATGCACACTGCAACGTCTGGCTAATTTTTGTATTTTTAGTAGAGATGGGGTTTCACCATTTTGGCCAGGCTGGCCTCGAACTCCTGACCTCAGGTGATCCGCCTGCCTTGGCCTCCCAAAGTGCGGGGAGCCACTGTGCCCAGCCTGGTTTCAGTTATTTTAAACTTGAAAGCCTAGTCTTCCCCCTGGTTTCCAGTTCTGGCACCAAAAAGTTGGATTGAGCAAGAGAATTGTACTAAGGATTGGTATAGTCCAGGGCCAGTCCTAGAAAGCTGGAAAGCCATTCTGATGACTTATGCTCCTCCTGAAATCTGTCAGTATCAGTAACATTGTGTGACATGCAGGCAGCTCTAGCAGTTAATGTCACATGGTGGTGCAGAGACTGTAGGATTCTCAGTGGTATAACTGGGCTGGCAGAACAGTGATGGGGATGCATGGGCCATTAGTTTGCAGTCTCTTTTTCTGTCATAAATGCAGCCTGTGTGCAGTGCACTGCCTACATATCTGCTTCAAAAGAGTGAAGAGTTGATCCAGTATGGCTGGGATTTGTGTCTCGTTTGAATGAATCCAGCTAAAAGAAGGAAAAAATTCCTCTTTCTCTCATCCCCATATTGGTATAATCAGAGGCTCTCAGTATAAATGGGTCTATGATAGGGATTTGAAAGATTGTAGTAGCTAATTTTAGATGATTGCTGATTAGAATTTCTGGTTAGAGATTTCAGGGCAGTGGGGTTCGGTAAACTGTGACCTATGTGTCAATTCAGACCTTTGTCTGATTGTGCAAATAGTTTTATTGGAACACCTCCACTCCCATTTGTTTGTAACAATTGCAATAACAGAGAAACATGATAATTCCAGTATTTATTTCATAAAACATCTGAAACATTCTGAATCCATCAATCAGCAGTCACTATAGGTTATTCTAATACTTACCTGATCAAAGTCCTTATTGATCCATCTACTTCCCGGGACTCCCATGGTCTAAGGCAGAGTCAGTAAACCATGGCCTATGGGCCAAGTCTTCCTCGGTACCTGTGTTTGTAAATAAAGCCATGCCCATTTGATTATATGCTGTCTGTGGCTGCTTTTGCACTATAGTGGCAGAGTTGAGTAGTTGCCATAGAGACTGCAAAGCCTAAATATTTACTGTCTGGCTCTTTACCAAAAATGTTTATCAATCTCTGACCTAAATGGTCTCTCGGTGAGTGTCTCTATCTACTGGATTTTGTGTGTATGTGTGTGTCTCAGTCTCTTTAACACCTGTGTTTGGATTCGCTCATGCCATCTTCATAAGGTGCACATGTAAATGCAGCATTTCTCTGGCCTCTGGAAATGCTGCTTCTAAGTGACAGGTCAAGAGTTGTAGTGGGTTTTAGAGCCAACTGGTTTGGCTTTGCCACATCCTCTCTCTGTGGCTTAGGCCCTAGAAGCACAAAACTGTTTTAAAGTGGGGTGTCAATGCCTCTCACCAAGGACTATGACATTTGAGTGAGGTGCTGTGTGTCAGGTGCCTGATACTGTGTGCTTGTTGGCTGTTAGTGTGACTTGTGACTAGTACTCAAACAATAGCAGAACTTGAAGAGTATCTTCCCTGACCCAACCCATCCTTGTTTTGGTGATTTGAAAAGTGACTTCTGAACTTCTTTTGGGATTTGGTAACTCCAAAGCGATACCAAGAATATCTCCTGGGCAGCCGGTGTGGAACATTCAGTGTATTTGTTCTTACAATGTGGAGGGCTTTTCTGTGTATTACTCTGTCAGTCCAGAGAGGAATGTGTTGGCTTTTGCCTCCCAGCCATGTGTAGAGCCAGAGCCCTCCACAGGTCAGCCCCATCTGCCTCTCCCAGCCACTGTGGCAGGGGTCATGCCTGCCAGTGATGTCTCGGTAATTGTGTCACGGATGGTGCCATTCACCCCAGTCAATGCTGTTCTTGTTTCTGAGGTGAATTGATCTCTGTCTCCAACAGCCTGACCCAAATTCTGATCCCTAGTGGTCACCTCTTATCTAACAGGACAGACCTGGTCCACTTGTGTTCTCCAATGAAAAGTAATAGAAACCTGAGGTGAGGTGACATTTCCCCTCATGGTCCATCCCCACCTTGTTAACCCTGGTTTCTCTGGGCTGGGGCATTGCCCTAGAAAAGCTGCCAGCCCAGCCCAGGCTCAAGCAGGTGTGGCCTCCCAGCCTCTCTCTGCAGACCCCTAACCCACATCCCCTTTGCCTGCTGCCTGACTCCTCCTTGACCTCTAGGTTCTGCATGCCTGCTCTTCTTTACCTACCTTCTGCCTGTCTCCTAGTTCCCTGAGCTACTTAGTCCTAGACTGGACCTTAG